TAAATATATACTTCTTATGATTGATGAATAGTGATGTCTATAAATTTTAAAACAATGATTTCGATTGATTATTTTTATTTTTAAAAAACTTTGTGTAAAGATACTGCTTTTTTCATTTCTAGTTTTATGAATAATTGAGCAAATATGAACTCTGACTTATATAGAACAACTTTTTTTCAAATATTGAAATGTTCAATTGATACATTATTTACTGACAATAGATATCATATGTAAAGAATTGTATGATGTTAAGTTGTTTGTGTTACATTCAGTGTGAAATATTAGTCAATATTCATTCAATTGAATTTTTAATAGATTTGTTTAAATGTTTTCTGATATTAAAAAGTACTATTTCAAGTTGCATCATTTTCACAGTGTAAAGAAAATGCACCAGTTAGGGCGATGAAATGTGTTTCTACCAAGAAGAAATACATCCGTCGTGTAAATTCGGTGTTGGTGTCAATATCTGGTAAGCCAGATGTAGACTGAAAACAAAGACATCTTGAAACATATTGTTAATGTTATTTTATCTATAAGAGTGACAGAAGAGATTAAATAATGAAAGATTAGAATTCTCAATAAAATTGAAATTATCACTATTTTAAGTAGACAAGAAATGAATTTTTTTTCACTCGTTACACTGCTATTTCATAAAAACCAAATTATATATATGTAAAGTAAGAACCATTTATAACATATTGAAGTGTAACTTTGTTAAAATGTTGCTTCAAACATGGTGTATAGATTATCTATGACTAGTTATTGACAAAGGGAGACAAATAGACAAAGTGCTATTGGATTTAAGAGTATACTGAGTAGAGAAAACCATATAGCACGTACCAGTAGAACAATTAGGATTTCATCCAACATGTCTGCTAACCACAAGGATTTTGTCAATTTATCGAGATATAAAAAACCGGTATAGCTGGAAACGTACTACCATTATTGAAAATGATAATATTCTCGGTAAAAGATAATAGAGCGTACGTAGTATTTGGGGAAAGTCTTTAGAAGTTTTTTATATAAACATCGAACTATCTCAAGATAGTAGTCTTAGCCTGTGCCTATTTATTGTGTTCCATTATGATTGAGTTCAATACATCGAAGCTCATTCAGATCATCATTTTGTAGATGATCTTTATGTTATTATAAGTTTCTCCATCTCAATAAAACTAGCACCTATGATCGAATGCTTAGAACAAGAAGCTACGCGAGTGTATAATCGAATATTTGCATACTCGAAAAAATGGAAATAATCTATAAATGCATCTAAACCTGAGTCACAGTTGTTTTATACACAAATAAGAAAGCCAAGAGTACAAGTAGAAATGAATGAGCAAAAAATCAGATTTATAAATGAAGTTAAATATCTAGGATTCACATGAACAAACAAATTATCCTTGAGATCAAAAGTTTATAGATGTATAAGAAACATTCAGAAATTCTTAGGACAGCTTAGATGGTTAAGAGAAAAATGTTTTATCTTCATCATAGAGCTTAGAGAATGTTTTTTTCGCATATACATTTGCTCATTTTGCTTGGTTATTTTCCTTCTTCCTACTGCTTCCTAAGCGACAACAAAAACAATTATTACAACAGAAATTCCATGTTAATCTTCGACTATTGCATCGCTGCTCCTGTTTTTCAACTCGTAATCTATACATTATGACTAATAAACATTTATTAGAAGTTAACGTTAAACAATACATTCAAAGAAGGTTAAGATGTATGCATACAACGGATTTAGGTCGTTCACTCTGTTATAATGATATTTCTCTTTGGGATGATTTTCATAAAAGAAAGAAAGATCATCTTGATCAATTTTTTCGTAGTAATCGTGTGAAACAATTGATAGAAAAATCATGAATTGTTTCTCTTAAAATGGATATCATTTATTGAAATAAAGTAGTTTAATGCAAAGAAAAGAATATACGGATTTCTTTTTCCTTTCTTTTTTTTATTTCTCCTTTTTCTTTTTTTCTGGCCTTGAAAGTTACAAGCGTCCTCCTTCGTTTTCTCCTTCTTTCCTTCATTTGCTTCTTCTTAAATTTTTAAACTTTTTTATGCCTTTTTTCTATCTCTGTATTTACTCTCTTAATACTCACACGAGCGTAATGAATATTTAGTACAATGATATTAGCGGCAACTGTAAAAGTTATCGCATATGTATTGTGCATTAATGCTGAAATATCCTAAATTCTCTTTATATTATTATATAAACATTTTCGAGTGTTACATTTAAGAGCATAATAAAATACACCAGATCTGAATGTATTTGTGTAAATCAATAGAAAGAAAAGGATTCTCAAAACATGCATATGAATCACTACATTTCGATTAAATTTAAACTTTTTTCTAAATTGATAATTAACAAATATTTATAATGATTCTCTCTTGGTAAATAATATATCATTTAACTATGTGAAAAGTATCTTCTAGAGTATCTTTTCTTTTCAGTATATAAATAATCTGGATTAAACCCCTAGCTAGAAAACTTGAAGTCGAGCTCACAGATATTTCAAAATCAAATATCGAATAGATAATGATTCTTGCTCTTATCATTGACGGGAAGATCAATTTGATTAAATATGTCATCATGGTTTCTTTGTAGAAGATAACTAGAACATGATTATCGATTTGACAGCGCTGAGGAATTTTCTGTTTATCCACTAGATTGTTTTTCTTGTTCATAGAAAAGCTATATCTGTGTTAGCAGTAAGCCCTTTATGGTGTTTTAAAAAGATTTCATATCATAATAATTTGTCGCTAATTGACGCAAATCCTTTTCATTGATTCCATTGGAATCGCAAAATCATATCGAAATATAAGAGACAAAGAAATGCCAATAGAATTATGTTAAATATTGACTTACAGGTGAAAAAAAGGGAAGCGAGGAGAAAAAAAATCATCGTCGTTCTTTCTTACTTTTCTGTCAAAATTTATTTGCTCCCTCGTCTGTTTTCATTGAATGTACTGCATGTTTTGTTGCTCTCCGCTTCTCTTTGTCCATACATCGTTCTGAAAAAAAAAGAAACATTATCGATATGTTTTGAGATGTGACGACACAGCGAGAAAATAGTTGACATATATATATATTATTTTTGGCATGTTTATTTTGAAAATAAAATAACGAAATACTGACATAGGAAAAAATTTTGAAGAAAGCAGCAATAAAATTTACATACGTATATCCAATAAGACTTCGAGCATGGCTCAAGCATTACCGTCAAGTCAAAATGAGTTGGAAAATCGATCACAATTACATACAACAACCGTGACTCATATACAAACAACGAGAAATAACAATGGAAGTAGTATATAAATTTTCTTTTGTATATAAATTATCCTATTACATAAACTTCTATTGATAGATCAAGCTGAACCTACGGAAGATCAGCGTCCGTTTGGCTATGGTCCATGTCGTAAATGTAACATGAATAAAATTTGCATATTGTTCATTAATTGCAAACATCTAGTCTGTTGTTATAAATGTGCAAGCGAATGTTCCTCATGTTTAGCATGCGGACAAATAGTGATTGGACGGCTTCGTGTATTTGAACCGAATTAGAACTATTTATTTATTTGAAAAAAAAAACTCTTATATTTATCAATAATAAACAAGATATCAACTTGCAATCTATTTAACAGCTTATAATGACGATTGTTAACTATAAATATTAGCTCTTTCTACGATGATTGATATTTCCTAGTAGATTGATGTAAACAATGCACGAAAGATCACAAAGCGGAAGAAGACATTATTCAGGCAAATAGATAAATCGAATTCGATAGATAGTAATGTGTCTTTTAATATAATCTAAAATAGAAATAAATGACTAGATAATTAATAATAACAATTGAATATTATTTATAAAATAAGAAAAAAAATGTAAAGATAGAGTTTTAATGTGCCTTGAAAAGAAATATCAATATTGATTTAAGCAATTTTCGATAAAGGCATTTTCCATGGTATCGAAGAAAATCTTGCAGCAGTTATTTTTATGGATAATTTTTTGTGTTCGTATTGTTGTACAGAAAATTACAGTAAACAATAATTTGATTTTATTGTTTTTTATATGATTACAATTCATTGTTACGATAAAATGACTACGTGTTAGTTCATCATAGTTTTTTTAATTTTTATTCTTATTTGCTTCAAGTTTAAAGAATTTCTTCATGACAACTTTGACTCGTACTTTTGTTTACTTTGTCGAAACCCATTATCATTGACATTAATAATCATATGAAATTAACTATGTTATACTTTACAAAAAAATCATATTATTCAAAGATGTTTATTTGCCAAGACTCATATTGAAAAATACTCTGTAGCATATAGAAAAAGAAAACTGTTACTTTTTTTTCTTTAGGTTTTATTGATTGGTTAAATTTCTGGCACAATAGAAGAGATTCACCTGCTGAGAGAGAAAGCGAACCAATGAAATATCAGTAAAATAAAAAGAAATAAGAAAAGAAAAAAATACAAAAATATTTAAAAACAGGGGCTGTTATATTCTTCTTTTATCCTACATTGAAGAAAAAAGATGTAAGCTAGTTTTTCTATTTTCCTAAAGTAATGACACAAAAGTTATAATGATGAGCATGTTATGTTATATTAAAAGCGAAAATTGAGACAAATGAGTTAATCTTTGTTTACTACTTCATATAACTAGTTAAGGTTGGATTCGAGATGTTCAACAAGGCTTTTGTCAAGTTTGAGTAAACACTAAATAATACACTGGATGACGCATATGAATTATAAAATAATTCAAAAATAATGAATTACAAAATAATTCAATAACATTAAAAAATACCAGGGTCTACCAGGGTCCACTAGGGTCTACCAGGATCTATCAGGGTCTACCAGGGTCTATCAGGGTCTACCAGGATCTACGTTAGAGTACGCTTATTTTAAGAAAATAATGACTTTGTATAGACTTTTTATAGCTTTTTGGGGTCAAGGAATCCAGATTTACTATTAATTTTGAGGAATCTTCAAGTCTATTTTCTCTGTCAGAGTAAGGTTATTTTGAGAAAATAGCGATTTTTTTTATAGAGCTTGACCAAAATTTTTCGG